TTTCCATTTTATAGATGGAGACAATGAGGCCAGGGTGGGGAAATGGTACCTAGTGAGCAAAAGCTGTGGAGCCAGAGTGTCTGGCTCTGCCTCTCGTGACCTTAGGCAAGTCACTGAACCTGCGTGAGCTGCAGTTTCTTCATTGTGTCCATGGAGAAGACCATGAGCCGAGACTGCTGGCCTGATGATGTAAAGGGCTTGGTGCTAAACAGGTGCTCACGGTGCAGCAGCCCCTTTCTCCACCCCTGTCCCTTGCTCCCTCTCCCCTTCGCTGACATGCCTGTCTCTGTGCTCCACAGACCAACAGAACTTCACGGTGACACTGGACCAGGTTCTGCTCCGCTGCCTGGAACACCAGCAGCACTGGAACCACCTGGACGAAGAGCAGGCCAGCCCGGACCTCTGGAGTGCCCCCAGCCCAGAGCCTGGTGGGCCCACATCCCTACTGCTGGCGCCCCACCCACCCCACACCTGCAGCGCCAGCTCCCTCGTCTTCAGCTGTATTTCACATGCCTTGCAATGGATCAGCCAAGGCCGAGACCCTGTCTTCCAGCCACCCACTCCCCCAAAGGGCCTCCTCACCCACCCTGTGGCTCACAGTGGGGCCAGCGTACTCCATGAGGCTGCTGCCATCCATGTGCTGGTCACTGGCAGCCTGCACCTGGTGGGTGGTGTCCTGAAGCTGCTGGAGCCTGCACTGTCCCAGTAACTGAGGCCCGGGGTTGGAGGTGGGAGCCTCCCACACCTGCCTGCGTTCTCCCCATGAACTTACATACTAGGTGCCTTTTGTTTTCTGCTTTCCTGGTTCTGTCTAGACTGGCCGAGGGAGCAGGGCTCTGGGATGGGAGGCCAGGAGAGGATGTCCTCTTTTCTAAGGCTCTGTGCCTTGGTCTCTCCTTCCTCCTGGCCGAGATAGCGAGGGGCTCCCCGGGTCTCTCACTGTTGCAGTGGCCTGGCCGTTCAGCCTGTCTCCCCCCCATACCCTGCCTGCCTCCTGGCTCAGGCCCAGCGTATTGTATGCACTGCCTGGCCAGGCCCTGGGTCCTGCCATGTGCTGGGTGGTAGATTTCCTCCTCCCAGTGCCTTCTGGGAAGGGAGAAGGCCTCTGCCTGGGACACCCTAGGACAGTGGGTGGCTGGAGTGAATTAAAGCCTTTAACTTTGTTTTTTAAAGAAATGGCAAAGCCTTCGACTGACCCTTGACCCCCTGCTCCCTCAGCAGAGACAGGGAGAGAGGGGCTGCTGGTGGTCAGGGACCTGCGCGGTGTAGAGGAAGCCTGGCCGTGTGGCCTGGGACAAGTCCCTCCCTCCCTGTGTGCCTCAGGTGGCCTGACTATGAGATGAGAAGACCGGACTGACGCCTGTTGACCATATGCCAGGCAGTGCTTTCTGCAGACCCCCTTGCAGAGACCTGGTGATGGAGAATTATACCCATTTGACAGACGAAGGAACTGTGGCTGGCTTCAAGAAGCCATGGGGGCCAGATACGGTGGCTCACGCCTGTAATCCCGGCATTTTGGGAGGCTGAGGCGGGCGGATCACGAGGTCAAGAGATGGAGACCATCTTGGCCAACATGGTGAAACCCTGTCTACTAAAAATACAAAAATTAGCTGGGCATGGTGGCGCACACCTGTAGTCCCAGCTACTCGGGAGGCTGAGGCAGGAGAATTGCTTGAACTCAGGAGGCAGAGGTTGCAGCGAGCCGAGATAGCGCCACTGTACTCCAGCCTGGGCGACAGAGTAAGACACTGTCTCAAAAAAAAAAAAAAAAAAGCCATGGGACCTGCCTACAGTCACAGGCCAACAAGTGGCAGGTTCAGGATTTGAACTCAGAGCAGTCAAGGGCCTGTGTTCAGAACCCCAGAGTGGGAGTGTGGATGGGGCCTCCTGGTGTTTGCTTTCTTGCAGCCGAGACCCTGGGGTGTGCTGCCGAGGGGCTGAGTGGCAGAGGGGAACTGGCTGAATCAAAACCTGTGCCCTGGCTCCTGCTACTGTTCAGGATGCCGCCCCTGCCACCAGGCCAGCCCAGTGGGGGCCAAGGACAAGAGCAGCCCTGTCCTGTGCCCTCACCCCACCCTGGCGCTGAATGTCACTGCCCTTCTCCCAGCCCAGCCCATCACTGGTTTCATGGTCTGATTTATTGGTGGTGAATACACAGGGGCGGGCCCAGGACAAGCAGCTTGGCTACTCCCCCTCTGCTGGCTGCCCGACCGGCAGAGGGGGCTCCATGTGGCAGGAGCTAGGCTCCCAACGCCCACTGTTCTTGCCACCCTCTGGGCTCCCAGGCTGGGCCCTGCTAGGCTCCTGTCTCCCCCGCCAGTTAGGCAAGTCCAGGTGTGGAGGCCAAAGGGATAGATCCAGGTGGCTCTGGGCTGGGCCCTCTTCCGTTCCTCGGGGAGGTGCTGTCAGCCTGGCTGGGCTGGCCTGGATCTGCTTCAGGTTCTCCCCTCCTGCCCAGCTCAGTTCACCAGTGCTGGATCCAGGTTCAAATGACAGGGGCTTGGGGTTTTACAACAGTGTGGCAAATGGTCTCTCTCCGCGGCCCTGGGCAGCCGTATCCCAGACCCACTGGGTTGAAGGTTCTGTGGGGTGGGGTGGAGGGACCCCAAGGTGTTCCAAGGCATTGGCCCCACTGGCAGCAGGCGTCTGAGAGGGAGGTGGGAAGGGCGGGCACAGAGAGCAGGCTCCATCCTGGGTCGAGTGGAGGACTGGCTCCCAGGGTGAGTTCACAGCGGTGCTCCCGGCTGGCGGCTGCTCAGTCTCTCCTGCTGGGCAAGCGCGGGGGGCCGGGGCTACGCCATGCTGCTGGTGGAGCAGGGGGTGCTCTGGGTGCTCCCGATGCTGTGGTTGGTGCTGCTGCTCTCTGAGGAGGCCGGGGCAGCCACTGCCACCACGGGCTCCCGCTTGCCGGGGGAACCTGGGAGCAGGGGCGGAGGTCAGGGTCCCGGCCAGGGCTCCTCAATCCCTCAGAGGCTTCACTGGGCTCCCCCGGGTGGGTGGAGGGGCCCGGCATGCTCACTGTGGGGGCCTGGGGTACTCACGCGTGTGCGAGTAGATGTACCAGAGTGTGGCGGTGAGCAGGGCCCCGATGAGGAAGGCACCAAAGGTGATGCCCAGCACGGCGGGCAGGACGAGGCCTTTGCTTGTGCAACCTAGAGAGGGCCGGCGCCATCAGCACTGCCGCCTCTGCCCCCGCCCCATCCCCTACCCTGTTGTGCTGGCCTGCGTGGGCTTTGGTGCCAGCCCTGCTCACCCTTGGACCCTTGACTTCTCTGAACCTCAGTCTCCTCTTGTAGCAAACGGGCTCATCACAGCCGGGCCTGGCATTGAGCCATGGTTGCTAGAATTATCCACCTAGAGGGCCCAGCCAGGCCTTTTGGGTCATGCCTCTGCCCCTCAAGGCTGATGGAGATGTGTTTTCAGGGAGGATGGATGGGGTAATATGAGGAAACTGAGGCTCAGGCGTGCAGAGCCTGCCCCACCTGCTGCGTGACCTTAGGTCAGCCCTGCCCCTCTCCGAAACCTTTAGCAGGTAGACAACGGGTCAGAGCAGCTCCAAGCACCCTGCAGCTCTGCTCTTTGATTGCTCCAAGCCTCATTCCCTCCACATTCCTGACTCCTGTGTGACTACAGGCCAGGCAGTCTTCCCTTGAGCCTCTGATGTCCAATTCTGTGTCATGGGGTTATCAGCCCTGCCTTCCTGGTCCTGGGCTGGGAGTGGAGGCTCCATCCTGACCTGGATGTGGTGGCAGAGAGGTAGGTGCCCCCATCCCTCACCCCTGCCTCTGCCGCCAGTGTCGGGACTCTTCTGCCTAGTATGGGCCTGGGGTGAACTGATGGAGAGGCTAGAGGGAGCATCCTGCAGGGAGAGGCCTCAAGGAAGGCAAGGCCAGCACCCCCACCCCAAAGGGCCACTGTCCCACCCAGGAGGCTCCATCCTCCCAGCAACGGTGGGGATGGAGTGGAGCCATGAGTAGGGGCAGAGGCCTAGACTCCCACGCCACAGGATGGTCCCGGGCAAGGGCTCTCCATCTGCAAAGTGCAGGCTCTGGCCCCTGTTCTAGGCTGCTGCTGTGACTCTGGGAAGCCCTCCTCCTGCCCCTTCTGGGCCGCTATCTCTGGGATCCCCCTTGCCATGTGCTATGTGCCCAGGCCGTTTCTCAGGGCTGCCCGCTGTGCCCTACTGTGACCTCAGCCACTAGAACAAACCCGAGACACCTGGAGGGAGCTCACCAGACAGGTCAGGGCTGATGACGTTCAAGCGCGTGAAGACAGTCCTACGGACTTCCTGGAGGAGGAAGAGAGAGCAGTATGTGGCACAGCCTTTGGGAGGCGGCTTCCAGGTTTACTCCCTGGCTCTGTGACCCCAGCCCACTCTAGAACCTTGGCTTAGAATCCCATCTCCACCGCTTCGTAGCTGGATGCCTCTGGGTGAGTCCTGGAAGATCTGTGCTGTGGGAGGGCGCCTGATGGACAATCCCTGGCTGCTGCTGACATGTTTCCTGTGAGCTCCTGGAGGCCTTGATGCCTGGGAGCACCGCAGGAACACTGTGGGAGCACTCTGCATCCCTCACCCTCGTGAACACTTTGGAGCTATGAGCCAGGTCAGCCCAGAGCCCCAGGCTCACTGTGGCTGGAGGGAGAGGCCCACTTAGGTGAGCTTCGAAGGCTTCCCTAGCTTCATATGACCAGAGAAGTTTGTAATCCTGGAGGTCTGTCTGTGTAAGGGCCTGGGGGTGACTCTGGGGGCATCCAGGACAGATTGCCGGAGAGTGGGGGTCACCAGACGGTGAAGTGTTGTGACTGGCAAATACAGAAAGCCAGGAGTGTGTGTCCTTTGTCTGCCTCTCTTCCCTCGGGTCTCCTGTTCTTTGAGATTACACTGGTGACCATACTACATGGATGTGTGGGTGGCTAGATTCCTGGGTGGGATGGTGGGATGGTGGGAAGACGGTGGATGCCTGGCTGGGATGGCAGGTGGGTGGGAGGGTGGATGGATGGATGGACGGACGGGTGAATAAGTGGAAGGATAGATGATGGATAGATGGACAGTTGCAGCTGCATAGTCTGGCAGCTGCATAGTCTGCCAGTGCCCAAGACATGGCAATCCCACCAGAAAGCTCTCGGGTGGCAGAAAGTGCTGCTGGCAGCCAGACTGCCAGGTGACATGCCTGACTAGGGCTCTGCCCCTCACCAGCTGGCCCCACATCCCTGTGGGCTACCATGTCCTTTCCTGCAAACCACAGACCTGGAAGCTCCCACTTGAAGCTGGGGCCGGCCCAGGCTCCACTCACCTGGTCTTGGGACCCGGTCTTGGGACGCAGGGCTATAGTGCAGCTGAGGGTGCCGGTTTTGGGTATGGGTACTGTGTAGAAGTGGAGGAGGAAGCTGAAGCGCGGGTTACCCTCGGGGCTTGGGGACAGCAGGCTCACACAGTTGCCCTTGGCCGCCCGGCCCTGGATGAGTTCCATGGTGCCTCCCTCAGGCCCCAAGTCCAGGTGGCAGCTGTCTAGCTGGAGCAGGAACTCGGGGATGGATGGGGACACTCTGACCTGCATGGGTAGGTAGGGCCACGCGGCATGGGCAGCTGCTCTTCACCCCACCCCACCTGCTGCCTTGAAATATCGGCTAGAATGAAGAGTTCCCACCCCTGAGTCCTCACGGTGGAAGGAAAGGCATGGACCTGTCTGGGTCAGAGGAGGACAAGGCCACATCCTTGTCAGCATCCCTGAGCAATGCCTTCTCTCTCTCCCTCTCCCACGCACCCAGGCCGTCTCCCTCCTGACTCTGGGATTCTCATCTCCTCTGGAGTCATGGTGGGAAGAAAGGCGGAGAGGAAGTTGCAGGAGCTGGGAGGCCCGAGGGGTGACAGGCATGCCAGGTACCTGCACAAAGCTCTGCTGCCCCGGCTCGATGGTGTTGGAGGCCTGGAGGAAGTGTGGGCTGAGGTAGAGGCCCAGCTGGAAAGAGAGGCTGTCCATGTTGAGGCAGTGCACCTTTTTCTGGGGGAGGACGGGAGGGAGACTTGGTCAGTCCAGTGGCACCAGCCAGGAGGGCGAGGGGTGTGGGGAGGAACAGACGTCATAGCCCTGTGGAGTTGCCTGACTCTCTCATCCTTTTTTTTTTTTTTTTGAGACGGAGTCTCGCTCTGTGGTCCAGGCTGGAGTGCAGTGGCGGG